CACCCGATTACCTATATATACATGAACTTACGGTTACAGCTTAACAGCTGGCCTCTGTAGCTCAGTTGGTTAGAGCGCTGCACCGGAATCGCAGGGCCGTAGGTTCGATTCCTACCAGAGGACCTTCTGCTGCATTTTTCGCAGTCGTTCCTGGTTAGGTCTTAAAATGTATATATTCTCACTTGGATTCCAAACCCTAACATTCTAATATTAATTCCACCAAGTGAAGTGCAGAATCTAATTAACGAAAAGAAGCCTTCTTTCAGATGCATATCCTCCAATATTGGTGGCTGCAAATAAGTCCAATTAAGTTTATATTAATATTGAATATGTTGATTTAGAAACAAATTGTCTTATTCTTCCCTGGGGTTTCATTTCATGTACAGAAATTTCACATGTGAATTAGGGATTTCATATGTGATTTGATTCCACTTAGATATTTCATATGTGAAATGAGGAATTCATAATTATATGATTTCATTTAACATATAAAATTTTCACATGTGAAATGAGGTTTTCACATGTGATTTGAGTCCACATATGAAATTTTCACGTGTGAATTAAGGATTTCAGTCATTTCACATGTGATTTGATTTTACATATGGTAAATTCATATGTGAAATGCGATTTTCACATGCAGTATGAAATTTTTATTTCACATGTGAACTTTACTGTTTCACCTGTGAAATGAACGTTTCACATATTGTGAAATCATGTGGTGAAATTTTCGGAAGGCTAAGACCAATAGGTTTTAATTGCAGCCCCACTTGAAACCGTTATATCAAGAAGCTTCACCCCTTCTTGCCGCTTATGACTACGCTAAGTGTTATTTACTCTGATTTTTTAAGCTTGAATCGTACTATCGCAATCATGTCATGGTCATGCTTCTTGACTACCAACAGAATGATTTTCAATTTGGTGTATCACAAAACGGAAATCACATCCGAAGAACGGACGATCCTTTTCCGCACATCACTGAGATTCAAGATGCCTTGGTATCATTTTACATCAAACTGAGAGCCTCTCTAGCTAGAAATCGCATTAGAGAGACTGCATTAACTGTTGAAGACCTACTACCGAAAGAGGAAAAAGAGAAAAATGAATATGTGTGCTACCAACCCATTTATGCATACGTGAACACTTTAAGAACAACCGTTGAAGACGTATGTGGTATGCTGGAGCGGAATGGATTTATAAAAGAAGATAGCGCTGTGGATTATTCCAACTTCTCAGGTCGCCGTTATGCAATTGATGTTCATTTAAATGACGTTATTGTATTTCCTCGGGATGTCAAGTTTGATGTGTACAACCATGATTTGGTTCAATGTGGCTTCCTTGTTGTTCAGGTGATCAAATTTTGTTAAGTATTCCTATGGGATTATTTCACACAAAAGGTTGGGTTACGATAAGGATAATTTTGAGGTACGCATTGTGACGTGCAAAAAAGTACAGGGGTATGAGAACAAAAAATTGTTCTAAAAATTTGTAAACTTTGTGAGTTTTCTTTTAGAAATCAACTTTCTTTGGAAAGTTTCCCATTCATGCAAAATATACCAGTATTGTATCTCTGTCCGTTCTAAAAACCATACACTGGAAATGTTTTCAAAAATCGTTACTATGAGTGTATGGAAATACTGTAGTATGGAACTTAGTTGAAAATAGTATGGAAATCCAATTTTTATACAAATTTCCATATTGCATGTGGATATAGTATGGAAATAGTATGGATATACTATGGATTTAGTGATGCAATCGCATTTTCCATGGTATGAATTTCACTATTTTTTGCAGTGATACTGCATAATTGGTAATTTGGTTAAGCAGAGTTGAATAATAACCAGGTATCAGGTGTATATATGTAGTCAGGTCAATTTTATCTGGATGTCCCGGTTAAATCAACCCAAGTTTCTGGTTACACCTGTTCAAAGATAAAACTCTTGAATTTTTTAATTTTTCATATCACTCCGCACATTTTCCTCAAAATAAAGTTCGCACTTAGTAACAATATATGTATACCATAAATAACCTCATGTAACAGTAGGTATGTTGTGCGAAACTACAGTACATGTGTCGATGCAATGACTGCATGGCTAATATAATAAGAGAAAATCATAACATAAACAGCAAAAGGCATGCATGATGAATCCGAATATACCGAATAACACTTAAATATTTACTTTTAGGACAAATCAAGATTCATAGCGCCCGAGGTTGTCAGGAGTGTTCTATTTCAATTGACTTTAGCCAAAGAGAGAGCTGCGGCGTTAATTCCAGGGGAGATCAGACCTATATTTAGTGATGGAGATGATGTCATTATTGTTAATTCTGATTCAGGTTTGTTTCTCATTTGTTATTTGGTATCCAACATATTATGATGTTAGGGTATATATATGGTTATAGGATTATGTCTGAAAATTGTATGTAACCTTCCGCTCGAATTTTCCGACTACAAAAACCCATTTTCTATTGTTGCACAATCTTTTTGTTTCTTCAAAGTGTCAGAGGCCTTTTGTTAATAGACAATTCCCATTATAGACTAATTTTAAAACTACAGTAGGCTAGGAGATGCAAATAAATCACCACACGGCTAGAAAGAGCATACTAAAATTAGTAAAATTGCAAAGTTTGGTTTCGAAATGTTGTAAAATGCGGAAATATAGCCTTGCAAAGTTCGCAAAGTTTGTATACTTTTGTATTGCGCGCGGAAATTACTACCACATTTGGGCCGAAAATGGTGGCAATTTCCGCACGCAAGTATACAAAATTTGCAAACTTTGCAAGGCTATACTTTCTGCATTTTACAACATTTCGCAACCAAACTTTGCAATTTTACTCATTTTAGTATCCTTTTTCTAGCTGTGATGATTTATTTGCATCTCCTTGTCCATAGTTTTAAAATTAGTCTGTAATGAGAATTGTCTATTACGCCGCAATTATTCTTAATCATAATATTCTCTAATTCATTATTGTAGTAAATCTTATTGCTCGTGTTTCGTGTTATGTCGATCCGCAAAGATCGCTGTTTGTTTTTGGCGTCAAATCTTCTCAATATGAAGACGTGAGGTCAATACTTGACATCCTTGGAGTACAAAGTATCCTTTATTCTTTCTCATGGTAGAAACAAAGATAAGGAATACAGACAAAATGCTTTCTTTTAAACGAGTCAACACGATAACTAATCATTTTATGCGCAGCAGATTTACTGATAAATTAATAGACCCACCTATTTAAAAGTGTTCAGTGATTGACATTCTTAAACAAACGTTATCAGTGTTTGCGACTCGTTTTCTGCCTCGTACCCTCCCTCGTTGCTCTTATGGCCTTTACAGGTACGTGGGCCGCGTGGATTTCCCGGTGAAGCCGTGAAGCTTCCAGCCGAATTTTGTTTTCCTCCCTTGCACGTCGTCCCGCGCGCACTTGATGACATGAAACACAAACCTAAGCGCCTTCAATGGTACGAGGCAGACTCGTTCTTTCGAAAATGTACTCTTTCATTTTATAATTGTGTTTCATTGTTATAATTAATCAATCACAAAATCTGTTCATATACAGTAGGTTGGTGGCGATCCAACCTGGTTCAATTATGCCTGTACATGTTGCCACTTGCCACTCAATTTACATTTTCCAATAATTCACATTGTGATAATGTAAGAGACTAAGAGTAGAATGAAACAAAGCGTAGAATAGAAAACAGGTAACCAACGAGTGAATTGGGTGGCAAAAGGCGTTTTAGGGCTATTAACATTATTACTAACACTACTGTTATTATTAGGACCTAAGCGTATATA